TATTTAGTTGTCACGTGATAATCATTTGAGGTAAATATTTAATCACCCGATCATGTAACATTGCTAGATCTATTAACAACTTTCACAATATAATTTGTCTGAAATTTTGTTTTGGGTTTTGTATTTGAGTAAAATATAGGTTATTAGAGCGTGTGGAACTTGCTTGGAAGGTTACTTTGCTTTGCTTTGATGGATCGGTTTCACTAGTTTACAAAGATCAATACAAAAAAAGGCAGAGACTTTCATGTGATTAAGAGACAAAATGTTCTAAAATTACGGGTTTTATGGAAGGCTGTTACCATTTTTAAAAGTTGATACTCGATTCCCTTAACTTTAAACTTTAGTTTCTAACTCCCTCTAGTCCTCCAAACCATCATGAATAAAGATGGGGTGAAGGGCAAAGTTTGAGGATACTTTATTTCTTTGTAATAAAGCACAACCCATGTGACAATTTTGATCCAATTTACCAACTTGATGAATCTCTAGCTTACATTTTACGGCAAGGTGGATTAAAAGTGAAAAATAAGTTAGTGTTGTTGTTGTTCTCGGTGATTAATGTAACCAAATTAGCAACCTAAAACGACATGAGGAAACATGTGCATTTAAAGGAAAGATGAAGACATTTAAAGGAAACATGTGCATTTGGACGTCACATTAGTTGTATCCTTTGATTAATAGAAAACTAATGCATGAAATTTTTCATGTGATGAGAAAAATTTTATATCAAAATATCCTCAAATATGCAAAAAAATATCACTTTTTTATAAATTAAAAAAATATATATAGTCAGATGTATCTATTACACTGAATATTTTGGCAAAAACTTATTTTTAACCCCTCACATTATATTATAACACTTTTAACCCATTATTTTACTAGATTTGTAAGTTTTAGCCATTTATCTATTAAAATCAAAAAAAAATAACCCTCACTTCATACTGACTGTTAACTTTGTTAGTTAAAAATAAGTTTTTATCAACTAACAGTCAACTAATAATCAGTTAACAGAATGAAAGAAATATTATAAATTTAGTTCTGTTAACTTTGTCAACTAAAACAAAGTTTTTGTCAGTTAACAGTTAACTAATAGTCAGCTAACAAAACTAACAAAATGTTATAACATGAGGGTTATTTTCTTCAATTTTAATAGTTGAGGGGTTAAAAGTGTTATAATATAAGGTGATAGGTTAAAACTTACAAATCTAGTAAGATGAGGAGTTAAAAGTGTCATAATATAAGATGAGGGTTAAAACCTTCAAATTTAGTAAGGTGAGAAGCTAAAAGTAGGTTTTTATCGAAAATTTTCTCATGTAATAACATGAAGCATGGTTAGGTGACAAGTGATCAGCATACTCAAACATGACAGAGGCAAATAATATTGCCCTAATATCTATTTCAATTGTCGGCTATTCTAAGGCTATATCTTCTGGCAATTTTGTTCAATTTTAATAGTTGAGGGGTTAAAAGTGTTGTAATATAAGGTGATATGTTAAAATTTACAAATCTAGTAAGGTGAGGGATTAAAAGTATCATAATATAAGATGAGGGCTAAAACTTTCAAATTTGGTAAGATGAGAGGCTAAAAATAGGTTTTTACCAAAAATGTTCTCATGTAATAACATGAAGCATGGTCAGGTGACAGGTGGTCGGCATACTCAAACATGACATGGGCAAATAATATTGCCCTAATATCTATTTCAATTGTTGGCTATTCTAAGGCTATATCTTCTGGCAATTTTGTTCAGTCACTGTATCTACAGTTTCAGTATTGAAGGAAAAAAATACAAACAAATGGACTTTTTGTCCTTCACTAAAAACCAAATCACTTGTTTTGGATAGAGAGGAAATTAAGGAAATTGACCATATGCAATATCCCCTTCTCAACACAACACCATGGTCCCATTAGCCCATAATCTTTTGTGTCTTTTTCTAGCCCTCCCCATTTGTTCCCACGTGAAACATTATTTCCTTTGTTTTTATTATCTTCTTTTTTTTTTTTTTTGAGGAAAATTATCTTCTTTTATATTTGTAATTAATTCATTAAAATTTCAAGAAACTTTGATATACCCCTATGAAATAGTATTTTCTAAAACTATTCTTCTGTTGTCTTTCAACTTTTAGTCAAAATGTAAAATTAATTAGTAAAAGCACTTGAACTTGACGATCTGATAACTCTATAGCTCATTGAAAGTGCATCTCTTAGTCTTTGGGTTAAAATTCGAATCTCCTCCACCTCCAATGTAATCTGCTCAAAAAAAAAAATAATAATTAGTAAAAAGTGGGGCAATCTATACCATTACTTTTTAAGTTCATAATTTTTCTTAATTACTAATTAATATGAGATTTTTCTTATTTGGCACGGTCTTTTGACATCTGACCAAACTTTGATCAGTTGGACTAAATAGATTGAAGTTTGTAATGGTAATTAAGGATCAATTCTTTATGATTAAGAAGGTGTTCTAACTTCAAACTACCTTTATATATAGTACCTTTTATGAATGGTGGTCTTCAATGTTGATGAGGTCTAGAGGTAGCTAGTTAGGCAACATGGTTAATCTTTTTGAAATCACCTTTCTTAATTCCTTTTTCTGGTCGGTTGCAAAGCAAACACTCTAAAGTTTAAACGTTGAAAATAAACAAAAGTTGGTTGCCCGGTTGCCCCATACCATACAATGCATGGTCTTGAGTTGAACTTCCTAAGCTGTTGTGGTGGCATCTTTCCTAGCACCTATGGCACAAGCCTCCTCACATTGGTCAGGGCTTACAGCCCTTTGTGTGGGTCTAAAGAGATTGTAACCTTTAATGGTCACCATAATCATATCTTGGGAAGGTAATTAGGCTTTAACTTTTACAGGGTAAAAACAGAAAACTGTAAGAAAGAGTCTTTGTGGTCCACTGTGAAACTTTTTGGCTTTGAATACTCATGGTTTTTCAACTTCAACCCAAAAGCAGAATCAAACCACTCATGGGTTTCAACTTTGAACGGTGAAAAGCTCCAATGGGCAGAAGTGGGCCGGAACCTTTGTTATGGGTCTCATTTCATTCTAGGACAAGTGAACCTATAAAATTCAAGTATAGGCTTTTAAGCCCTCCAGATTCAGGTTTGGGGCCAAATCTATCATTTGGGCCTGCAATTTGAAGTTGAAGCCTAATTATTTTCCTGATCCACCTCTGACATTATGACAGGCCAGCTTTATTTGGTCCAAAACATATGAGTTTCTGTTCATTTTTCTTTTTCCTTTTATTATTATTATTTTGTTAAAAAATTTTCAAAACAGACAGTTTTTTTTCCTCACTCTTTTTTGGGCACATAAAATGATACATTATATAATAAAATACAATTTTTCTCTTTCCAAACCCCTCCATACTTGTTTAAGAATTCAAACTTAAAATTCTTAATATAAAAATTTAAAATTTTAACTACTGATTTATCTTTAAGACATTTTTTTCTCCTCATCCTAATTTTATTGTTATCAACTTAATTAAGTTAAAGCCCCTTTTTTTTTGGGGGGACGAGAAGGAGTATCATGTTGATGCTAACAGAGTAACAGTTCAATATATGCAAGACTTGATTCCTTGTCCAAAACATGTGTATACAAGACTTAATTGATTCCTTGTCCAAGGAAGAAATCACATGTATGCATAACCAACCAGCAGTTATCTTCACACTTTTGCTTGTTTTAAATGCACCATTCTCTAAAATCTTTATAGATCTCTTGATGTTGATCCCTTGTCCACATATCCGATTCCTCTCCATTCTTCTTTTAACATTATGTACATACTGCATATGTATGCTCATTTGTATCTATGTTTCATGTGTCACAATGAGACTGGTCAAGTCGGCAAATATCTAAACTCATGAAATTGATGTATGCAAGATTAGTTTGAGTGAAAGCTACTTGAACTACAAATCAAGGTATAAACAAAAATGATGGTAAGAGCAGCTGTTTTCAATAAGGTCTCTACTTGTCTTGGAAGAGAAAACCTTCCCCTTTTCTTCCCTTTGGGTGTGATGATGAAAGGCAACTTCTATGAACAAATTAAAATTTGTAGAAACCAAATTGATGCTGTCATATCCCAAGTTGTATTGTGGTCCCTCAAACAATGCTTGTTGAATATGTATGAAAACTACATAAACCAACACCATTGTCTTCGTAATTAATTATCTTCCCACTTCATATTGGGTTATGTTTATGCGACTAATATTTACTGCGACTTTAAGCTTTTAGGTTGAGTAATGCTCTTAATAATCGGTAAAGCCTGTCTCGTCTCCACCCTATACATAATTGCTATCTAGAAATTGACAATGAATAAACATTAATTACTACGGCTCTGCCCTACCACCAAAGGGACATTTAGCTGCCATTTCTTGGTTTCATGAGTGCTGTTTCTAATTGCATAATGGCATTTTATTTCAGGAGAAAAATTTAGAAAAACCCTGAAATTGCAGTAATATAACGTGTCTTTTGTTTTGCTCTATATGTGTAGCCATTTCAACTGACAAACACAGGTCATCATATGATAACAATATTATTATCCTTTCCTAGATACTTGTTCAAAACTAAACCAAAAAAAGTAAAAGGCAAAAAAACCAGTCTGTCTATGGTGCATCAAAGATAGAAATTAAAGGGGTTGGGGCAGTTGGGTCCTCATTTTCCAGTACAGTTTGGAAACCTAGTTGTCAATAATTGTTCAATGATTTAAATTTTTTTGTATATTGTGTCCTCTCTGCCCACTTGCAATTATATGCTTACCTGCTGATTTCAACAGAGTCAATATCTAAAAAATTAATGAAAAGCGGAAGGATTTGTTGATGACTTTCTTGCACGCTCAGGCAAAAAGCTGTTTTTATGGAAAAAGAAAGGGTAATGAGAACTTGAGAACCTCGACTTTTATTCAGTTTAGCCACCCAATTACTCAACAATTATTTACAACAATCAATTTGAGATCAAATTAAAAAAAAAAAAATTTATGTACTACAACAAGTAATTCGGTTCATAAAAACAAACATCACGATTTAAATTTTCATTTGATGAAATACTTTAATGCATATACACAATGTCATTTAATTATTATAGTGAAATGAAATTTTATATTACTACATAATAATAACTATAATTAGAATGTAAAATTTTATTTTGTGAGTCATGTAAATATATATTAATATTATGTGATTATTACAAGTGAAATTAATCATAAAAAAACTTGAATGACTTATTTATTTATAGATGATTATTATGAGTGAAATTGATTAAAAAAAAGCTCTAATCTATGAGTCAAGTGACTCTAACTACCCTTATAAAATTTATATCTCACTTTTAATGGCAATGACTCAGCAAGTCCCATGATTAAAATGTTAAAAGAAAAAAAAAAACTGATTGAGAAAAAACTCCAATGCCTTTTTATTCATGGACAGAACATTATTTCACAAAAAGCACTTTTGACATAAACAGTACAGAGTACAGTATCTTCTTTCCTCAAAAAACAAAAATACTACAGTCTCGTCCACGAGCCTAAAATATCGGTTTCTCTACACCACCCACTCCACATCTGAGAAATAGTCCATCCAAACCCGTGGAAAGCACAACTCCTTTTCCGTGATTCTTCTCCGTCTCTTTCTCTATACAGAATTCCAGACTGTCTCTCATTTCCCTTTTTCCCATTACCTCTTTATACATCTTAAATTGTTTCTGTTGGAATTATTGTTTTGGATATATATACTCTTTCCTTATTTTATGGTCCTCCCTTTGTGGGAAAACAGCTTGCTTTACTTTCACGAGATGTTTCTGTGGCCTTCAATTCATGGACCCTTGCTCTCTTGCGTTTTTGTTTATATACACAGTTACAGGGAAGGATGATGGTCACATCTGATTCAAAAGTTGTTCTCCCATCATTCCTTGTGCCTAAGTTTCGACCTTGTTGCTTTCTAGTTCAATGGGTTATGGGATTCTAGGTTCTGGGTATTAATAAATATAGTGTTCTGGGCTCAGTCAAGTATTGAATTGGTCTAAATATGGGATTCAAATGCTCTTCTCCCTTCATACTCTAAATTTGAATTACTTGTGAAGGTGGGTTTTTATTGTTATTAAGTTTTTTTTTTTTTTATTACTGTTGCTTTCTTCTCTGCTTTGCTTGAATTCTCGCTCAAAATTTGGAGTCTTTTGATACTGGGTTTTGAATTTCACTCGAAAAGTTCAATTCTTTATCCCAAAATGAGGGAATTCCTGCTCTTTCTTGTGTCTCTTGTGTTTGTGCTATGTGGGAGCGTTATATCCAAGCAGTGTACAAACATGGTTCAACAGCTCTCGTCACATACTTTTCGATATGAACTCTTGAAATCAAACAATGAAACATGGAAAGAAGAGATGTTCTCTCACTACCACTTGATTCATACTGATGACTCTGTTTGGGCTAACTTGCTGCCAAGAAAAATGTTAAGGGAGGAAGATGAGCTCAGCTGGTCAATGATGTATAGAAAAATGAAGAATCCAGAAGGGTTTAAGTTAGCTGGGAATTTTCTTAAGGAGGTTTCATTACATGATGTCATGTTGGATCCAACCTCTTTCCATTGGCGGGCACAACAGACCAATTTAGAGTATCTGTTGTTGCTGGATGTAGATAGATTGGTTTGGAGTTTCAGAAAGACTGCAGAATTGCCAACACCAGGGCAGGCATATGGAGGGTGGGAGGAACCAACCGTTGAGCTCCGGGGCCATTTTGTTGGTATGAGTTTTAGTTTGTGATTTTTTTTAATCATTGCTTGCCTTTACTTCAATATTCATGCTGTCAAGCTTTTAATTCTATCACAAAAAGTTCAATATGAGAGAGGTCCTACTCTGTTTTCAAAAAGTTTATGATAATCAAAATCAGTGATTCAATATCACATTATTCTTGCCAACTTTTTTGTTTCTTTCCCAAATTCGATAATTCTAGGCTTTTTAGTTCATTATTTAATGCTCTAAATACATGTTCTATGCATATTCTTTTTCTTCCTGTCTCCTGACAAGAGTTCCTTTTGTCTTGGATGGGAAGAATCCTCAAGCACTGTTGGAATTGCCCTTCAATAGTTGAATAAGAATAGTACACCATTAATGCACCATTTCTTCCATCTGGAAGCAGTGAACATCATGTCCATACTCTACACATGATTTTTTTGGTTTTACTTGCTATGAAAGAAACAGTTTGTGATTTTTCTGGTTTCTTTGATCATGTATGTTGAATTGCCTTTAAATCTTGCAGGGCATTTCTTAAGTGCAGCAGCACAAATGTGGGCCAGCACTCATAATGAAACCCTCAAAGAGAAGATGTCCGCTGTAGTGTCTGCTCTATCTACCTGTCAGAAAAAAATGGGCACAGGTTATCTATCTGCATTTCCATCTGAACAATTTGACCGTTTTGAAGCTGTAAAACCTGTCTGGGCTCCATACTACACCATTCACAAGGTAGTTTCTTCTCTCATTCTTTTTATGGTTGACATTAATGTGTTTAGCCTAAGAGATAGGTAACACCTTTTAGTTTGTCCACTCTCTGACAGATCTTGGCAGGCCTATTGGATCAATACACTTTTGCTGATAACACTGAAGCATTAAATATGACAACATGGATGGTTGAGTACTTCTACAATCGTGTTCAAAATGTCGTTACAAAATACAGTCTGGAGAGACACTGGCAGTCACTTAATGAAGAAACTGGTGGCATGAATGATGTCCTTTACAGGTTATTTACCATAACGGTGGGTAAACTGTTGTAATTCCTCTAGCTTTTATTCTGGACACATTGTTGTATCATAACATGTGTTTGGTTTATTTAAACCCCTGCTAAATTGGCCTGACAAAGAGCTAATTGGAAACTCTCATTCCTAAGTATTTCAGGAAACATGATTCTATCATGCATCAGTTTTATTCCAAAAAAAAAACCACTTGAGAAAGAAGGCATTTCTAGGCCACAAAAGATTGTCAACTAGCCAACTAGCTCTATCAATTTATAATTTTAATGGCATTTTCATGGTATTTTTCTTTCGAATAAGTATAGTTGCAGAATTCTTAGATGATTGTGAACTTTGGATGCTCAGATGAATCTTTTTTATGTCACTAAATGCAGGGAAATTCAAAGCATTTGTTGTTGGCTCACCTATTTGACAAACCTTGCTTTCTAGGAGAGCTTGCAGTTCAGGTAATTGTCGTTACTTTTTCTCTTTATAGGCCTGAGTTTGTAGACTTTAAACATGGGTTTATATCCTAGGGTATGGACGGAAGTGTTTAGTGGTTTCTGGTTTACGCTAGAGTAGGCTTTTGGAGTGTGAAGAAGGCAGGAAAGAAATTTTCCAGAGTTGTAGAAGAAAATATTAAATAAGAAATGAATATTTTTGTAATTTTTTTATTGCATGATCACATGTTGCATTTTTTTTGTTTTTTTGATAGAAGACCACATGTTTCTTTTGCTTATAGGCTGATGATATATCTGGCTTCCATGCCAACACACATATCCCTATTGTTATTGGATCTCAAATGCGGTATGAAGTAACTGGGGATCCACTTTACAAGGTAAATTACTTGAGACAAGCTGCATATCATTTGGAATACGTAATCCATTTATATCATCTTTTCCCATACCCTCCCCACCTCCTCTTATGGTTGTTCCTATGTTTAACGTAATGATAATTGAGAAGTCGAAGTTTTGACATTTCACTTAGTTCCTTGGGGTCAGAAAGGATGCTGGCCTTAACCTCTTTTTATTCCTTCCAATGATTTAAATAGTAGTCAGGGTATATTGATATATATATTTGAAATATTTCGATGCTCATAATGTAGCTCTTGTTGTGCCAGAGTATAGGGACATACTTCATGGAAACTGTTAATTCTTCTCATAGCTATGCAACAGGAGGGACATCAGTCAGTGAGTTCTGGTAATAACATCACTCATTCTTAAGATTTTCTGGTTAATCTTAATTTCATCTCATATCTGACCCAAGTTGTTATTAAGAATGAGTAAAAGCATATGTCCACTACTTTTCCAATTCTTGGGGGTTCAATTTATTCTCATTCCTGATCTATTCAATCTAACTACGAGTAGGTCAGACCCAATGCGATTAGCAACCACTCTGCAGTCAGAGAACGAAGAATCATGTACAACTTATAACATGTTGAAGGTTTGTATATTGTTGTTCAGTTTTAGATGATGATGACTGAACATTTCTGATAATTCTTTTCTCAAAACCTTTTTACTGACTTGTTTTATTTGGATGGTTATGCACTTGAGCACATCTTCTTTACTTCATTATTTATTTATTTATTTTTTTTATCAATGGGATCTTTAACTAAGTATAGAGACCATTAAATGGTGGTAATGACTATTCTGCTTCTATATAAACTCTGTTTTGCCAGAGAGACAGAATTTATGTGAAGTCATTTCTTTCGCTGAATTGTCTAGCATCTCTACAAAACCTGTTGCTGTCAGTGTAAAATCAAAGTTCTACTGTGTTTTGTAGGTCTCTCGCCACCTATTTAGATGGACCAAAGAAATGGCATATGCAGATTATTATGAGCGCGCCCTGACAAATGGTGTACTTAGCATCCAAAGAGGAACAGAACCTGGGGTGATGATCTACATGCTCCCACTAGGTCGTGGCGTCTCTAAGGCTGTAAGCTACCATGGGTGGGGAACAAAGTTTAACAACTTTTGGTGCTGCTATGGTACAGGTCTGGGATTCATTGCCCTCATTCCACTCTCTTATAATGAGAACTTGAACTGCAATTTAAGTCTGATGAGGAAAAGACAAAAAGGAAGAAAATAACTCTCTGGTAGCTGTTTACATTATATCTGTAGCTCCTCTATCCATTTTATGATTTTTTCTTCTTGCTGTCACAGGAATTGAATCATTCTCCAAGTTAGGAGATTCCATATACTTCGAAGAGGAAGGGAGTGTTCCTGGTCTTTACGTCATCCAGTATATATCGAGCACCCTTGACTGGAAATCTGGACAGATTCTAGTGACTCAGAAAGTTGATCCTGTTGTTTCTTGGGATCCTTTCCTTCGAATTATGTTGACATTTTCTTCAAAAGAGGTAACCATGCAACTAACTTATTGCCATCCAAGACTTTAGAACTTCAATTTCATTGCTATAATTCTGGATTGATGTTAATAAATAGCGGAAAAGAAGAAAAGTACTCACCACAAGATCAGTTGAATATTTACATCAAAATGGAAATAAGGAAATATATTTTTGCTTTGATCCATGCAGGGAACGGCTCAATCATCTACATTGAATTTGCGCATACCAACTTGGACAAATTCAAATGGTGCCAAGGCAGAATTAAATGCTCAAGATGTGCCTCTACCAGCTCCAGGTGAGAAACAATCATAATTCTCCTCCCCTCTTTCGGCATTAGTTTCTTTAGGGAAAAAAAAAATTGGTCTCATTCTCATCTTTTAGTAATTCTGACATTTTTGGTAACAAGTTGAAGTTATGAAACACAATCCTAAGTTTGCTTCTTTTTCTTTCTCTACATAACAAGGGGCAAATATGAATCCCATTCTAATGCAGGTAATTTCTTATCCATCACTAGAGAGTGGGGTGCCAGTGACAGATTAACACTTCAGCTGCCAATTACTTTGAGAACAGAAGCTATTAAAGGTACAGCCATTCCAACCATGCATGAGAAAACAATAGTGTTTCTCTAATATGCAAAGATGAACTACCACTGACATTATTGATAAAAATTTCAGATGACCGTCCTGAATACGCTTCTATTCAAGCAATACTTTATGGTCCTTACCTTCTTGCGGGTCATACCACCGGTGACTGGGACATCAAAAGTGGAAATTCGGACTCGATAACTCCAATCCCCGCTTCATATAATTCTCAACTGGCAACATTTTCTCAGAAGTCTGGCAACTCAATTTTTGTTCTGAGTAACTCAAACCAGTCAATCACAATGGAACAATTACCAGCACCAGGCACTGCTGGTGCTGCCATTGCTACATTCAGGGTCATCTCAAGTGACACTTCAAATGATACCATTGGAGGGTCTGTCATGCTCGAACCATTTAATCTTCCTGGGATGCTTTTAGTGAATCAAGGATCAGACCTTGCAGTCACAAATTCACCCACTGAGGAGTCCTCTTCTAGTTTCCTATTGGTTGCTGGATTGGATGGAAACTCCGATACTGTATCCTTCGAATCAGTAAACCAGAAGGGATGCTATGTATATAGTGGAGTGAACTACCAGTCTAGCGTGCGCCTGAAGCTAAGCTGCAACAACGGGGACACATCCGAGGCCGAGTTCAGTCAGGCAACAAGCTTTGTAATGAACCAGGGAATAAGTGAATATCACCCTATTAGCTTTGTGGCAATGGGGGCAAGGAGAAACTTTCTTCTGGAACCATTGCTGAGCTTCAGAGACGAATCTTACAGTGTTTATTTCAACATTCAAGCATAATAAATATGGATGTAAGGAGCTGGAAATATTGTCCGTATAACACATTTGAATCATTTATTATGGAACCATTGTTGACCCTAAAAAGTGAATGTTACAGTTTTTATTTCCACATTTAAACAGAATAAATTTGTTAAATTTTGTAAAATTTCTTTTTCTTGAGAAAATTGGAAAATGTGTTAGATTTTGGACCAATGCAGGACCGTTTTGGGCTAGGCCTCGGACGAAATTTAAGAGAAGGCCGGACGCAACGGTGACCGGGCCCAACCTAGAGGAATTGTTGGTAATTATTCCCTACTTTCAGTTCCAGTGTTTGATCGACCCCACGTCTTTAATGGGTCACTGTTACCCTTAACTTTTCACGTGTGCTGTCCGTGCAGCGAATCTACTGCGATTTCTAATTGGTTAAATCCCCAATTTGGTCCCTTAATTATTGTATGGACCCAAATTCGATCCCTAAACTAAAAAAATCTTTAATTTAATCCTTTTATTATTGCACTCATCCTGATTTGATCCTTACTGTTTATTCATTTAACCTTAAATTAGTCTTTTTATTAAAATATAGCTAATGTATTGATTATTTAATAGTAAAAATCCATTATTTAACTGATACTTGTCACATTAATAATAACATATGTCATCTACTTTTGTACAAAAGAATCAATTTGAGGCTAAATTAATATACAAAGGAGACCAATAAAAAATTTATTTAGTTTAAGGACCAAATTGAAAGTTTATATAATAGTTAAAGGATCAAATTCGAGATTTAACCTTTTTAATTCATCTTAGTCATCTAATTTCTAAATAATTATTAGAATTTATTTTAAATTTATCATTATTTATTTATTTTTATTTATTAGTCAATCACAAAATATCATTTTTTGTCTTTTAATTTTTTGAGATTATAAATAAATACAATATGTCCACAAATCCTTAATTTGAGAAAAAAATTAAAAAATTAAAATTATTTTAAAATAAATAGAATATGAAATTTTTTTCAATTATTTTTTACTTGATTTTTTTTATAATTTAAATATTCCAATCTTTGATTCTTACTAATCTCACATATATTTACAAACTATTTAGTCTATAAGTATAGAGTAAGATTTTACCTTTAAGGGCAATTAGCATAATTCTATTGAAATTACTTGCACATAGATGCATGGAAAGAATTCAAACTTGCATTTTCACCATGAATTAAATGAATCTTGAACTATATGACTCAATTGAGTTAGTCTTTTTATTCAACCTTTTTTTTTTTTTTAATGAACAACCCTTATTGTTATTTGTTACTAAAACTAACACTTAATAATCCTCTTCATCTATTTTTACTAAATTTTTAAGATAATAATTAAGGCAGAATTCAAGCAAATAAATAAATCATAGTACTTAATTAATAATGGTCATTTTTAAGTAGGGGTGGGCAAAAATCGATTTCCGTTGAAATTGAAACCGAACCAAATTTCTTACAAACCAATTGGTTCTGTTACAAATAAAATCGGTTTCAGTTTTTATCAAATAAACCTTAGTCTGTTTTTTTAATGATAGATTATATTTTATATTATATTTTATTATATTTTGTTATATTTATCTAAATTTTGATTTTCAAGAGGCTTATTTTGATTTTTGATTAATAAAAATTCAACCAAAATCAAACTAAAATTTATTCCATTAATGCCAAACCCAAACAGGAAAATTCAAAAACCATTAAAACCAAATCAAATTCATTTTTTTTATTCAGTTTTCGAGTAACCATTTGATTACTCACCTGAATACCCACCCCTATTTTTAAGTCTTACTGTATATTAAAAAATATATTAATTTATTTTTTTAGTGAAAGTTAAAAAATTTATTTGAGACAATGTATTGTGGATTGTGGAAGTAGGAAATAAATAAACAACATACCAAAAAAAAATAATTTTTGGGCCAATAATAACATTGACATAAATATAAAAAGGTTAAATTAACAACAAAAAAAAAAGAAAATAGTAGCATTCGCAGTACGTAAATTTCTGTTTTTAACATGCATCACCTAATTACAGGCTTTGTGAAGCGGCTTCCCGCACAAGCAATCGTTATTAGTAAACTGCGACGCTTCCAGGTGATCGAACGGCGACCCCGACGGAATCCGGCCGCAGAGATGGTTGTAACTCAAGTCCAAGTGTCCGATAAACGACGCCGACGATATCGATCTCGGTATCGGCCCTCTTAACTTATTGTGGGACAAATCTAAGGCGGTAAAATAAGATCTCGGTCCGAAAACATCCGGTATCTTTCCGTCCAGTCCGTTTCGGCTCAAATTCAAGTTACTTACCCCGGAATTCATAAGACTCGCCGGAATCGGACCTGTGATTTTGTTGCAGTCGAGATTTAGAGTCGCGAGAACCGCCATTTTACCGAGGGAAGGCGGTATCGTTCCCGATAATCGGTTCGTGGAGAGGTCTAGATCGGCGAGACGATAAATTTCAGATATCGAGCTCGGTATGGTCCCACTGATCCGGTTTCCGCTCAACAGAGCCCGACTCAGCATCCTGAGGCGGCCGAAATCTCGGGGGAGAGGACCATAAATTTTGTTGTTTCTCAAATCGAGATGCATCAGACTCGATAGATTCGTTAACGACGGAGGAATTCTTTCCGTGATCTGATTATCAGCGAGACTCAAAACTGTGAGGCGGCGCAACCTTCCCATTCCGGCGGGGATCCGGCCGGAGATTTTGTTTCCGATCAAATCCAAAATACGAAGAAACGGCAGCCTCGTGATGCATGGCGGAATCTCACTGGTGATGCCTTTCCAGTCAGCCATTGTGAGGCTAGAGAGGCGAGTCAACTTACAGATTTCGGGCGAGATAGTCCCGGTCATGTAGCCTGTCCGCTTGGCGCGCTCGAAGAAAGGGTCCTCGGACTCACCACGTAGGTCGATGTCGGCGACGCGGTAAGTCTGGGGGTCGCAGGTGACACCGTACCAGTCGTGGCAGCAGTCATCCCCCGTCCACGAGTTGAAGATGCCAAGGTACGGCTCGTGAAGTGCTGCTTTGAAGTCCAGAAGTGCCGCCCTGTCCGTCGGCGAACAGCTCTCGACTGCCGAACTAACGGCGAGCAATAACAAAACAATGTGAAACATTGCCTTCATCTTTAGCACCGTCTGCGGCGATGTCAGTTCGAAGTAAATTGCAGTGTAGCTAGGACAACAGATTTTAAACAGGAGCATGGTCACGAGAGCAGGTGTGGTGCTGTTTATTATATGCAGAGGTGTGAGTTTTTGAGACGAATTTGCCCCTAACATGAATTGTGTAGATGATGATGCCTTCTGGGAACGAAAATCATATCATACTGCTACCTCTTCGTTTTTTTTTTATTAAATTTAGTGTGATTTTTTTTATTTTTAAAACATAAATTTTAAATAAAAATTTAATAATATGTATGAATAAT